GTGTTTTGGAGTTTGCAAGTGTTTTGGAGTTTGCAAGTGTTTTGGAGTTTGTACGTGTTTTGGAGTTTGCAAGTGTTTTGGAGTTTGTACGTGCTTTGTCTCTAGGGGCCACCGTAAGAATGTAACCAAACTGTTTATCATTGAGAAAGTGTGATTCAAACATTAACATAGTGTTAGTTTTTAACCAGCTGTTGTTATTATTTAGCCAGTTTTTGTCTGTTGGAATCTTTCTCCTACAACAGAACATAGATGTGATGCTTCATATCTTGAATATGGAGGAGCAGACATGAATTAAAATGTATCCTCACAGTATGCAAATGCCTACGGGGACTCTCTTCTCTTCTACATTTGGTATTTTACATTTGGCCCACATAAAACGTGATTAGTCTGATGAAAGAAGCCCTTCCCGACCACTGCATTCAAATAGAGTGGGACAACATTGCTGCTTCCACAAACTGCAAACCCACTGATGTGTATTTTTAATAGATTAATTATATGTTTGTTGGAAGACGTAATTACACACCAACCTCCTATATATTTCGGAGTACACTATGGTTTTTGGCTATTTAATAGTGTAAAATAAATTACTGACTTCACCTTTAAAGGTGGTGTAACACTACTGCTGTGTATGTGGAGAAGATGTAGACATTTGTTCACAACCCTGTGACAACCATTAAAAAATAAACAATTAAACAGGAATCTGTAACTCTCAATTTGTAAGACCTTCTGATTAGTAGACAGCCTGCTTCAACATCTAAGGCACAGCTGCATAGTGTAGTTGCATGTTGTCACCTTACTGAGATGCTGTATGTTACTTTAACTCCTTTAATTTAGCACTCCTCAGTAGATCTAAGAGTGTGTAAATAACTGTAAATCCTGTAAGCAAGTAGAGCTGTCTTGTCACAAGTGATTTTTGTGATTGTTTGCTATGACAGATCTGTAAATACCTTTTATGTGTAAATCAAGGAGTTTGGCAAGTGTCAACTTACCTATATTTACATCTCCAATAGGGAAATGTATGCATTCTCATTTACACATTTGGCTACATGTTCTAAAAATAAATAAATAAATAAAAAAAACCACACATTGCGTTACCACTTGAAGAGAGGCTAGTCTTTCCCGATGTTTGCTACAGAGATTGCATTTACTTTATTCCACGGACACTTTTACTTAAAATAAAGATATTTTGGATATATACGTTTGAGCTGATTGCCAGGACTTACCAGTGAAATCTCTTTTCTGATTCGTTCAGCCAGATTCTGAAGCATAGTTTGCGGAGAGTCTCTAAGCCCTCTCACTGTGGGGTTCACATGGTGAAGAGAAGTCATCATCTCCATGAAACAGTTGAACTCAAATGTTGGAGCTGTCCATTTAAAACTATTGCAGTCCGAGGAGCTTTGCCAGACAGACACTGCTTCTTCCAAATTACTTTCTAGCACAGACTTTCCCAAAGTGTGGGGCCCGCCCAAAGCCATTGCGGGGGGCGGGGGCAATGCTTGGACACTGCTAGTAGTGATGGGATTTCCGGCTCTTTTTAGAGACCCGGCTCTTTCGGCTCGGCTCACTAAAAAGAGCCGGCTCTTCAGGTTGTTTTGTTGCTTTAATTAATTTATTATTCACAATAATATAAAATTATGCACAAAAGAATTACTAACGTAAAAAAAGTGGTTTTATTTATATATGTTTATATATAAATATATGCGGTGGCCCCTAGAGACAAAACATGTACAAACTCCAAAACACATTTCTAGCATGACGTGAACTTCCAAAACAGAGTAGATCACATAAATTACACAATTGAAAGCATGTGTGTATTGTTTGTGTATTTATACACAGGCACTCATATATATTCAAATAATTTTAAAAAAAGTTCATCTACCTGTTACTATCACACACCAAATCTGGTCGTTGGTACTTGCTGGCTTGTGTAGCCACAAGATAACAAAAGCTCAACACTGCGCCTAGCATCCTGGAGCACTTCTGTTGTCTTTTGTACGTGTTTTGAGTTTTTATGTGCTTCGGAGTTTTTACGTGTTTTGGAGTTTGTACATGCTTCAGAGTTCGTACGTGATTTGAAGTTTGTATGTGCTTTGTCTGTAGGGGCCACTGTAAATATACTTTTATTTTTTCACTCCACATAAAATGTAATAAATCAAAAATCAAAAATCAACTATTCATATTTCAACTTTTAACTATTTAAATTTTCAGCTTTTTCCTTTTACAAATTTAAAGTGAAAACAACACAAAACACTGCAAACCACAACACAATTAAATATAAATTATAATATGAAAACAAAAAGACGATGCATATTCTCTGTCATATGGGCCTGCATGAATAAACTTTCTGAATCCTTTATCATCTGCAACCGAAAATAGTTGTGGATGATTACTATACCTTTCTAATGTGACGTTGTTGTCCCTGGCTCTCTTTCTCTCTCTCTCTCCCTCTGGCTCTGTTCCTGTGCTACTGAGTGTAACTACCGCCCCTCCCCCCTCTGCCCAGCATAAAGTACAAGGCTCAGGTGCGAAGCGAAGTGGAAAAAAAGTGCGAGAGAGAGGGTGAGAGAAGAAAGAAAAAAAAAAAACCACGTGACGGCTCGCGATAAGGAGCCGGCTCGCGTCGTTCACGTCAAAGAGTCGGCTCTAAGAGCCATTTCGTTCGCGAACGACCCATCACTAACTGCTAGCACAGGGCGCCACACAAACGCAAAGCAGGAGATGAAGCATCGCTGAATGTTTCCAAACCAACTTCATTCTAAGCCAAAGACTAGAAAATATGGTGAAGCATATCTTCCCTTTCAGATGTTAGCTCTTTATACAGTAAAGTTACAGTGGGATACAAATAATATCAGGCTGATTCTGCCATCCTACCACGATTTGGTCCCCCTGTCTAAACAGACAAATCGTATCCCACAGCTGTTTATGTTTTTAAACCCATTTTGCACAGAGAGGCATTTTTTGAAAAATGTATTGATAGCAATGTTGAATATTATTACACAGAATAAAAACAACTACATGTAAAATAATTACACCGTGACGCCTCTGCCGTTCTAAATAGAGACAGTAACTGCGTGTTTATATGGAAGCGTGTAAAACCTGTAAATCTGAATATCTGCCATTCTGCAATTCATCTCATGTAAACAATAACGTGACGCACAGCGTGACGTGAAAAAAGGCACATACCTTTGACGTTGCATGACGAACTCTGTATTCCTCCTCCACACGTAAACGCAAAAAAGGAGTTTTAAAATCTCAGTTTTCTGTGATTCGAAACGCCGTTTACGTGTGGACGAAACCGCTGCGTTTTCAAAAATACCCGTGTAGGTGCGGACATAGCGTAAAAGAGTTAGTAGTTTATTTCCTTACTACCTGTAATTTATTGCAATTACTTGTATTTGCGTAACTGTTTACTAAATATTTGAGGTGTGAAATAAACCGCAATGGAGCAAAATATGGGTGTGTGTGGTTGGAGGATGTGTTTGTGCGTGAGTGTGCGCGCGCGGGGGGGAGGAAAAAAGTTTGGGAACCACCGCTTTTCTTTGCAAGCTCCTTTGACTACGATGACCTGGATGACTGAGAACCTTCACAGACATTTTGGGAACCACTGTTCTACCACAACAAATTAAAGAATAACTAACTGGTGGACCACTTCAACAGAATGAAATGGGACTGCAGGTTTAATATGTAATTCTTTGACCAGAAAGAGACCTATGTACTGGTCTAAAAGAAAATAATGTAATGTAAAACCCAAGCAAGAATATTTATATATGAACTTGTATTTTTAAATAGATCACAATATTTTAGAAATTTGTGGTTTTAATACGCAACTGTTTTTGCAGTTATTAATGACACCATTCCTTTTATAAGGCTCTTATTTAATTTACACTGGGGCTCCAGTCACATACATATCAGCATGTTCCGAATAAATAAATATGGGTCAGTAAATATTTTTATCATATGACTACCTGTTGAACAAGCTCTTTGTAATGCTTGTAATGTAATGCTTTGACAAAATCAGAATAGAAATCTACTTCATTTGCCGATCAAGGATAAAAAGCTTGGCAACAACTATTCTTCAGAAATGCAACATAGGAATAAGGATAAACACTGTACAGAGGAAAAATAATAACTAATAAAACAACATTAAAATAAAGTGGGAAATCTTTTTACAGACAACTATGACAAAGTGCAAAAGTAGAATATTTTGGGAAGTTTGGAATGAAATGGATTGTGCTAGCCCATAACTTTGAATTTTCTTTAACTGGTAGCAGCATAGCAGCATTTAAACAGTTCTTAATTTGGTTCACATAATGACTCAGTGAAAAATGTTGCTTATCAATTACTTGACACATATATAATTGTATAAGTTTAGCTTTTATACAACAGAGCAGACTTGGACTAGACCAGGGGTGCCCAATCCCGGTCCTCGAGAGCTACCGTCCTGCAGCTTTTAGATGCATCCTTGTTCCCACACACCCGAATCAAATGAATGGCTTGTTATCAGGCCTTTGCCAAACATGATGGCATACTGAAGAGGTAATCAAACCATTTGATTCAGCTGTGTTGGAGTAGGGATGCATCTAAAAGCTGCAGGATAGTAGCTCTTGAGGACTGGGATTGGGCAGCCCTGGACTAGACAGTCCCTTTCCTGCCATGGGGTGAAGTTACCTGAGACGGTTAATCAGGGCCCCACCCTGGAGCCATACCTGAGGAGGGAGCTAGGTGGAGAGCGGCTGGTTGCCGCACGTTAGGGGACAGAATTTGTTTGGATGCAATTTTTTTTAATCATTAGAAGAAGAAAAAAGAAGAAAAAAATATATATATCAATAAAAATGTGATCACTCCTTTTTCTGGATTTTTGTTTTAAAATGAAAAGACACTCTGCCGATTACATGAAAGAGCTTTATTAAATGGAAACTTGCACATGATTTGCAATGCAGAATAATAATACTGGACAGTTAGCATAGGTGCAGAGAGAAAAACACAACTTGTGTCAACCGCCTAATACACAATGGCTATAGGCCAAAACAATGACCTTTGCATAGAAGTCCCTACCCAGTGCAACTGCAGTGTAGGGAGAAAGAGAGGTTTGTGTCTACGGGGACAGTTAAAGGGAGCTCCAGGTACACAATAATAATTTCTACATAAAGTTATAGTATCTTCAATCTGAAGTCCGCTAGCATCCTTGTAGCACGTTCTTTTATCTATTAAAACAGGATCTACAGCTGTCTGATAAATAAAAGAAGTTATATACAATGAGAAATCAGACAGGGGAGGAGATGAAGTAGCTACAGGGGTGGGTGGTTAAATATAAAGTCATGCAGAGGGTCCAATCAAAGCTGCTTTTGGCAAATTCAGGACCAGTTGGGCCACATCTGTTGATTAAAGTCAGATGATGGAAACTGATCTTGATCGATGGTTTAGAAACAAGGCATGAAATCAGAGCTGGCAGGTAAAAAGAATGCTTTACTAGGTTTTTTTTGTTGTTGTTTTTTTCTTTGCTTGTTTTTTTTTTTTTAGTGATAGCCCTTTATTTGTGGGTGTTTCCCTGTAGAGGCGAACACATCTGAGCCCCTATGCAGACACCCAGGGGAGCGTTCTCGTCTCCTCCCCCACTCACTGTTCTCACACTTCTCTGAAGGTAGTATAGATAAATTTAGAGCCCTTTGAAGAAATATTAAAAAAAACTTCTCTACGTGGTTTGGTGAGAATTTGTGCTCTCCCCGGCAGAACAAGAAAGTCTATGACAGAAGCCCCCACCACCTGGAGGCAGAGTTCAAGTGATCACCCGAGGACTTGGTCTTGATTAGGAGGAACAGACTTGCATCTTTAGATCCCTTTAAACCCTATTTTATGGGTAGTGGTCAAAAACCAAATGAGCATGTTCCTCTAGACTGTAGATCGTTTTCCCTAAAAGGGAAATTATTCCAGTTGTAAAGAGAGCTCCTGTTCTTTCTTAAATACAAGAGTAATTACACTCCAGAACAAAGGCACATACAGGATACTTCCTTTTTGCTACAAGTGCCCTCTAACCCCTTTTTCCATGCATTACGAACAGTTTAATTTTTCATTCCCCACATTTGTGTAACCTGAGTTTTCGTCTCCCTTTTTATCCTGTTTTTCTTGGTAAAGCCTGAAACAAAGTAAGTGCAAATTTCAGGGGGAGCTTTGTAGGTAAATTATTGTTTAAATTGTACAGCATTCATCTGAAAATGTCAAATGGAAATTTATATTGTGTTTGCATTTGAAAAAGTGCTAGCTTTATTTACTGCTGATTCCCACAATGACTCTTTATAATAATGGCAAATAATAATTAAAGAATAATTTCATTATTTGTTATTGTACTGATTGTTTTTCCTTTTTAAATAACTTCCAGGTCCATCAAAATAATGAATAATGTCTGTTTTCATAAATATTTCA